GCAGGGCCCCCCGGGATGCGGGTGTGCGCGGGGGCGGCAGTGTGTGTGTCGCTGGCGCGCCGCCCAGCGCGGGCTGAGCCCGGGGGGCCGCCGGTGTCGCCGTGTGTCACTGTGTGTCGTGGCTGGTGAGGGTGTGTCTGTCCCCATGGGGGAAACGCTGCGTGTAATAAGTTGCACACATCCCAGCGCATACTTCTCATTTTACGGAAAAAAAGGCCAAGCGCAGGGGAGGGGGAGAGCCGGGCGGGTGGCACGAGCTGGGACTGCGGGCTGCCCGACCTGAGCCCGTGTCCCAGGGTGTGTGCCAGCCCACGTGCTCCCCCGTGCTGGGGTCAGTGTTTGGGGCCCACCTCCCCTCCGCCCAGGCACAAACCTAGCTCCCTGGTCGCTGCTCCCCCACACCCACACCCCCATTCCTCAGGACCTCGGGCACTCCTCTTTTAGAAGGGAACAGACCCCTTGACAGCAGGGTCAGGGCCAACAGTGACACACACAGACCACATAGGAAGACACAGACACACACCTGGATACAGACTCGCACGTGGAGACACACACTGACACACATATGAAGGGACGCGCCCCTATTAGTGGGACTCGAGCCCGAAGAGCCAACAGGTGGTTTGCAAGGTGGTGGTGAGGCTGGGAGAGGTCTCTTGGTGAGATGCCTCCACCCTGCCAGGGTCAGGGAGCAAGAGGGGCTGGAGATCACTGGACCCCAAACCTTTAAGGCTCTGGCTCCCTGCAGTGGGCCCTGCAGGTGCTGCCCAGGGCATGAAGGGCCCCAGAGGCCCCAAGACTCCCAGGACCGGGAGCCAGAGTTGGGACATGGCACTGTGTGCATCGCCAGACACAGTGGGGAGCTGGGGCTGGAGCAGGTGCGTCTGAGCACCCAGGGCTCCCCCTACCCATCATGTTAGTCCTCACTTTGGACTCTCACCTCAGGGGCCTACCGTCCCAGTTTTGGGTAGCCATAGTTCCAGCCATGCTGGAGACCTCAGGGTGGCCACCCAGAACCCACCTGCCTTTCTGGCTGGGCTCCAACTGACATGCCCCTGCCCTCCTTCCTTCACCCCACAGCTCGGTGGTGGCTCAGAGACAAGGATCCCGTCTGCAGGATGGGGCATCTGAGTCTATCACCCTTCCTGACCAGCATTTACTCTCAGGGCCCAAAGCACGTGTTGGCAGAGGGTTGACAGTGCTGGGCTTGCTAGGAATCTAGGCCTCCGTGTCCCCAAGGCATTGCCACCTGTGAGACGGAGAGGACAGCATGCCCTGGCTGGGCCTCCCCAGGGAATGTTAACTCTGAAGCGATGCGCATCTACCATAGCCACTGGAGTCCTCAGCTCCCAAGACACTGGGGCAAGCTGGGGGAGGGAGTTTTTAACTGGAATGACTCTGGTTTACATAACCAGAGCCTCCAAATTACTTAGCAAAACATGTTTGCTTTTTAATTAACATGTGCTTGAAAAACAATGGTTTTAATTAAAGTGGGTGGGGGAGAGAAAGGACGGTGGGGGAGAATAGTTCCAGGAGCTCCAAGACCCCGCCCAGACCTCTTAAAAATAAAGTGGGAGCCTTGCCTCCAGCTGGCAGAGGCTGGGAGGCAGGCCCCTGGGGAGCCCACCTGCCTCCACCCCTCTCCAGCACCCTTGCTGAGACTTGGCCTTTTTACTGACAGTTGACTCGCTTACCCACTGTTCCCTGGTCCCCTCTGGGAAGCAGTCTTTTGGGTAAATGAATGGGGGGTCCACCGGGGAGAGAAGAGAGAGGGAACAGCCTGAGTGAAGACCTGAGACTGGGGGTCTTGTTGGGGGAACATTAAGTTTACTGGGGAGGGAGAGACA